GAGAGAGAGAGAGAGAGAGAGAGAGAGAGAGAGAGAGAGAGAGAGAGAATAAAGAAAAAAAGATATAGGTAGATATGAGTGCTCAAGAAACAGGTTAGAGGCTTCACCATTTATTAGTCATTCAATGAAACAAACAAACTCCAAGGAGAGCTTCTCAAGGAAAGTCACTTCATGGTACATAATGAAAAACAAAACAAAACAAATCTAAACAAAACTTGTCTCTGACTTTTTTCCTTTAAATAAAAGGGCTGTTTAAAATGGTGACTTGTAGAGTGTGTGCCACTTCTCCCAGATTGGCTGTGCAGAAGTGTGAGGGAGTGTGAGTGATGTAGAGGTACTTGTTTATTATAGAGCACATTTCAATGCAGTAATCATAAATATTGCTAAGGTTGTGCTCTGTTGAAATATGACCTACATACTCTTGATTGTTTGTGTTACGTGATTTGTCTGACACCCATTACATTCTGGGTAATAGCAGCCATTTGTTGCTCTGCACAGCAGGCTCTTTTGACAAAAGAAAATAGGCAGCAATAAAAAAGCTATAGTCTGAATTACATTCTGCACGGAGCTGTACTGCTGAGAGTTTGTGCAAGTGTCTTAACAATGCTCTGAACTGCCTCTTGTCAGCCTTCAGCCTGTAATGGCCATCTGTCCTCACATAAATCTGTCAAAACCTGCTAAGTTCAAGAGAGAGCATGGAATATACCTTGTACTGTCAACACTAAAATGTACACATTCTCCAGAAAAATCAACACGCAGGAAAGGAGCCAGAGGTTATGGGAGGCATTAGCACTGTTGATTTAGGCTTGTGGCATGAAATTGAGAGTCCAGCCATTAGTGGAAAGATGAGAAAGGAATTGAGCATTAAGGAATTGAATGTTGACCTCCCTCGAACCACAGGGGAAGAAACTGTGGGCAGAGCAAGTCAGGTTAGAGAAATATAGCTGATTCAAGGGCCAAGAGGGGTAACCTGTCCCGTCAGCAATGCTTAAAAGTTTGACACAACACTAAAAGAAAAAAAAATGTTCTTTGTGCTTTTGTTTTACTTTAGTTTGCCTTAGGTCTCGACTCTATTTGGAAATAGATTTTTCAATTAAGCACCAAGTGATACAAAGTCTGTCATCCATGAGATTTCTCAATCTCATGTAGAGATTGTCTCTGATTATGGGAGTTTTGGTAAAGAACATAAAGAAAATGGGGAATTATCTAAGATCTTTCCCCTACCCTCCTATGCACCAACAGTGAACTGTTTCGGTCTGATGAGCAAGTAGAATTTGATTTAGCAGGTGACTTGAGCAGAACTCTATAGCCTTGGAGTTTCACCCACAGCACACAGTTGCTTTTCCCCAGAGCATTTCCATCCACTTTAAGCATATCTTCAACAAAACATAATTATTTCAAAATTGGAAAAAATGGCTTCTTTATTAAAAGGAACTGTGATGTCCCTGAGGGGTAGAGTCTTTAAAGTACCAGCAACCTGTGTAACATCCAGCACAGAGTAGGTGCCCTATGGATGTCTATTCTGTGTTAAGAGTTTCTCCTCTGGGAATATCATAAAAAAGCTAGTCTTTAACAGAAATCAAGTACAATCACAGGATCAGGACATCCAAGAACAATTGGAAAACCATTTATTTAAGCAATAATTAGCTTAGATACTGGGACAAGAGTTTCAGATGTTCAAGAGTAAAAGAATTTCTATATTTAAAATCCCTAGATAGACAAGGTATTTTTAGAGCTTGTGTCTCTTTTATAGTGGCCTAATTTGGCATTTCTGAAGTTCAGGGTTTCTTTTTATACATCTGGACTGTCAGTCAAAACACAGATATTTGGAGTAAAGGCCACGTGCTATCCAGATGTTCAAAGACCTTGGCTCTCAGTATGTGGCCTGGGAGCCATCTCATTAAAAATGTGTAACCAGCCTCCTAAGTGACTCGTAGGCCACTGACACCTGAGACTAACTACTCAGAGAGAAACTGAAAAAAAAAATGAAAATGAGCAAGATAACCTGTAAGACAATTAAGTCCATGCAGCATTCTACAAAGTACACACAACCCCTGGGGAGAAAGTGACATGTTTCTTGTTAAAAACAGCAACAGCAAAAGACAAAGAGATTCAGGCATGTAGCACACAGGACATGAGTCACCCAGCCCAACACGAGTCATTAGAAAAGCAAACGTTACCCTACATTGAATGAGCATAAAGAGATTTATGCAGGTTAATCCTGGGTGTTGAATGGCATTCACTCACTGTCAAGGGTCACTTTTTCATCTCTCTCTCTCTCTCTCTCTCTCTCTCTCTCTCTCTCTCTCTCTCT